TAAAGATTAACTTTTTGTAAAGCTAATTGTATTAATAATTAAAATTAAACAAACCCCATTAAAATCCTGAAAACATACTTGTTATATAAATTTTATATATACTGTATGAAATAATTATATCAGACAAAGTATTTTTACATTATTCGTAAGAAATACATTTCTTTGTTTTGTTTTTATCAGTTTCATAGCATTTATACAGAACTGTACTGTAAATTTTTGGTTCTTGTTTATAATATACTGTAGCTTTGATTTTTTATTTAAAAGTGCATTTGGAAATGCAAAATAAGAGTAACGTACAAGTAAATAAAAGTGAAATTGTTAAATTTTGAAATTAATTTAAGTTATTCCATTTATTTTTAATCATTGCACGCTTATCACTGCACGATAATCATCTAGGAATTCATCGCACATGTTATTAATCGTTGGTAAAACAGATTTTTTAAAAAATAATAAAATATAATGGCACAGATTTAAGATTCTATGATAATGAAAATGTAAACACTTATATGAAATGATTTAAATTAAAATTGAGAAAGTTAATTATTTATTACGTCAATCATGATGAATTATGTTTATTAAATTAGAAATGAAATTTCTGAATAAGACCAATTTGTTATATTCAACTATTTTTATAGAAACTGTATTCATTGATAATTATTGATACTTATGAACTTAGACATAAATAGGACAATAACTTGAATTTAGTCATGTTTAAATCATAACGTTCAGCAGCATTTGTATTAGAGAATGTGGAATGACAATTGACAAAATAGTCATAAAAATGAATCAAAATAAAAGTACGATTTTTTAAAAATCTGGGTAATTATGCAAAGATTAAGAGATTAGGCCATATGTATACCTAAAATTAATGAAAGGATTAAGCATGCAATAAAGTGATTAACAGTGAACAAACAAATAAATTCATTACAAATTATGCGTCAATTATCTTTAGCAGTAACTACAAGAGTTAAAAAAATGTTGAAAGTAGATATAAATATAAAATACCAAAAATAATTACAAATACCCAAACTCTTGCCACACCATAAATTGGCAAGATTAGATTTTACTAAAAAGTAAACATTTTCAGAAGCTATATTTCATTGAACATTCCGTCATATTTAATGACGAAAGAAATTCAATTTAAATGGTCCTGTTGGTTGCAAGACATATTGGAGGGATACTTGCTGAAAACATGATGCTTATCATTCCAAAAATTTTCATGGAGACCCCAATGATATGGGTCGTATTTGACTATCGTGGAAACACACCAATTTCTTTCATTTCACATAAAATGAATTCAGAAAACTATATTGAACTTTTAGGCGATGTATTTATTAATTTTGGAGAAAATTTATAGGGAGGTAATTGGACATACCAGCATGTTAATACATCCATTCACTCCACTCAAAACACTGAAAACTTAAATCTCATGGAAAATCTTTAAGGTTTTTTAATACAACAAACTTATTCAGATGATTGCCACTTTAAGACACTAATAGAGCTCAAACAGATAATTCAAAAAGAATGCAAAAAAATCGATGTATCCACTCTTCAAAAAGTGATTAATTCAATGCCTCGACAATAAATGGAGGTCACACAACATACAGGAAATCATATAAGCTATCAACATATATTTTAGTGAAAAAATGTATGAAATAAGACATATGTAAACCTATTTTACACTGTGTCCGTTATAATTATTTCACTTATTATTGTAAAATATTCCATTTTTAATTATTAAAAAATTAAAATAATTAACTGATGCAAGAATATTGGGTTTTTCTTTGTACCGTAAATATACTTAATAGAAAATTTGTTTCAACAAATACTTTAACACTTTATTTAATAATACCTATTGTATTTCATTACAAAGCAATTCATAGAAAGTATGATGTAACATAAAAACAAATTTAGTGAACCACAATATTTTTAGTGTTATTAAGACTTTTTTTCAATAAGCTTAAAAAATTACTTCTTTTTCCTATAATCTGAATTACTTATTTATTTTAATACCTCACCATTTATCAATTAACCCCTTGTCCTACAACGAGTGAGACTCATGGTAAAAATTTTCAACATGATTCAACAAATATATATATTACTTAGTTCATTTGAATTCAACGTAAATATTATTCCTCTGTAATCAATTATTATACTTAAAAGGAAGTATAGGCATGACATATGCTTAGAATTTTTCTCTTTTTCCAATAAATTATTAATAACAAAGTAGCCATATCAATCAAAGTTGAGAAAGATATCAAAGGCCAAGGGGTTAACAAAGCATTAACAAATATATCAAACACAAATCATTATTTGAGATTTTCATCAGAACATAGCCACATATACGTCAAATACAAAATCACTTTTTGTATCAGTAAACCTATAAATCTTCATAAAAACTGCATAATTACATGAAAAAATGATACATAGTACAATTTAGAATATCAATTTATCAATCTCAATCAAACAAGTAATTTTGTGGTATTGTATTGCAAGATGAAAATTTATGACCTTTGTATGACTCTTATTCACAAAAATTTCTCTTTAGATTAACATATATATCAGAATCGTGATAAAGGAATGAGAGAAATTTACAATATCAATAAAAGAAGTATCACTATAAATAAATGTATAACTTTATATATTTGTGCTTTTTCATCTATGTTTAATATATTATATACATATGTTCACTCATTGATACATACTTTTTTTTCATGTAAGTAGTTTTTGCAAAACACTGAAAGATATTCAGTTATTTATTGTATAATATTATATCGTTGTGTGTAATTGCATTCATTTAACTATGAATATTATATTAATATTGAATTACATATATTTCTCGTATTTATTTGCAATTTAATTGTTTAAGAGTGATGGAATATTGAAACGTAACGCGATCTTAAGTTTAAAACTAATCATTCACTTTTCACATTTATAGTCCAGACATTTTCGTTTTTTTGAAATCGCAGAATTCTTGTATAGTATCACAAATGTTTGTGACAGTACACACTTAAAAAATGATAACCATAATTTTCAGACTTTCAGAGACACTCACTTTCAATTTCTACTTTTTTCGTGTTATTACAATCATGTTTTTGCGATCAATAATAAATTAGAAATAAGCTTTTTTGATACACATAATTGTGCAGCATTTTCGTAAAGCTCTAATGATAATATTAATTTTTTCTTATAGATAATTTAACACTAACGTATAGGGTAGAAGTGTCTACTTCTAGTATAACTTACTCCCCTCACGCTGGTAACTCGAAAACAACGTTCCCCTATTACCTCTACTATAAAGAGGGTAACTTTTCGAGAGGGGAGGGTCACTAGAGTGCCCGCGAGCACCGATTTAGACACCCTTGATGTAAACATTTCATATTAAAATAAATCAGAAGTAATCCAATTACACCGGGTGAGTAATATAGGAATTGACGTTAAAATATTTTGAAAACTATTAGCTATATGAAAAAATGTTTCAGACAAAACTTGAATGGTTATTATGGGAACATTAATCGATATAATTAGCATTTTTGTAAATGGACCCTTAAACAACATTTAGAGGTCAAAGTTTGTTTTTTAAATGGAATCTTATTATTTTTAAGATAGCAGGTGATCCAGTTCGTCATTATCTATAAGAAAGTAATAAACCATTTATACCGAAAAATCAATAGTTTAGGAGATAATATTAAGATTTTGCAATGTGGTGCTTATCCAGAGACAAATTCATACGTAGCATTTCATATATTTCAAATTTGATTTTACGGACGTGCACTCCACAACATCTTAAAATATCTCCAAACTGCTAGTTTTTCGGTACAAGAAGTTTATTATTTTCTTATAGAGAATAATGAACTGAACCGATTGGTGTTTTAAAAATTGTAGGACTCGATTTAAAGAAAACAAACTTCACCTTCAAATGTCCTTTAAGTTTTATTTGAAACATATTTTTATGTAATAATAGTATCTGAAATATTTTAACTTCTAGTTTTAAATATTATACTCACCCGGTATAATTGAGAATTATTTTTCTATTTACGTCCGTGCTTTCGTATGGTATATTTATTACAAACATTTAAAAACAGAATAAGTTATTACTCTTTAATTTACTCTTATAAATTACTCCACAAAAATATGTATTTGTATGAACATCTGTACGCCAGTTATAAGTAACAATTAGTTAGTGCAAATATTTTAGGTGTATGCTTGTTATACAATAAAATATCTAAACTGGTGTTTTTTGTGATGTAAAAAGTAGTTATTCAATAATTATAAAAACATTCCAATGATAAAGAAATATGGTTTAAAAATATTATTTTTGCTACTTTTAATAATTTACAATCTAAGTACGTAATTTACTCTGAATATGTTGAAAAATAATTGATTGTACTATAAAAAAAAGTATAAAATAAAATAAATTAAAAAATGTAATACATCTGAAAAATGTAAAAAATTATTCATTATTGAAAATTGAATTTACCATGCACTAAAAAACCATGCGCCCATTGCAATGAACACGGTTTGTAATAACTTTCATCCCCTTAGAACCGTAGAGTAGTTAAAGGATCATGCGTAGATGCGGTAATCTTTGAATCACAATGTACTCTTACTTGCACACATAGGACGAGAATCAATAGCATTGTAGGTAAAAGTATACAATGAACAATTATATATGTGGAAATACGCATAAAAATGGTAGATATTGATTTATATCAGTCAAACATAAATATGTCATCTGCTTTTATTGTTTTAACCCATCATTATGCTGCGTTCACGTCCATATGTTTATCCGTAAACATATAACACTACGAATATATATAATTTTTCAGGTATAATATTCCCTTTTCAGTGTGTAATAGATAAAATATATTTTTATATGCTGTGTATATCTTTATTGCACACTTAATAAAAGTGTATAAAAGAAATAATGTAAAAAAAAAGGTAGGTAAACAAATTAAATGAAATTATAGTAAATGTTACTTTAACTACATAAAAATGAAATTGTACAGGATTATAAATTCAATATGTTTGGAGCTTAAACTGAAAATGGATGTTCATAATATTGGAATTGTAGCTGTTTTGGGAATAATTGGGGCTGCGACAGGAGCTACTTCGGCAGTACTTGTTTATTTAACTTGTATCAGACACAGACGATCTCTTAACTGGTATATTTTAATAGATATTTATTAAAATAATTATTTTATAAAAATAGAGAATAAAGTAATTCACATAAACAAAAATTCATTTGTATAATTGACAATAAAATTATTGGACATTATAATTAATAGATTGATCATGATATATATACATGTTTCAGGTTTGAAAAGGATTTATTGAATAGAGCCGAAGAAGCAACCCAATTATCGAAGGATGTGTTTATTGGCTTAGGATCTAATGTTTCTCTAAATTATGAAAACAAAGAAAATGAAATTCATTCTGATGATGAAGAATGGAAATCAAATTATGTACTTGATATGCTTGATAGTATTACAAAAGATTCACCCAAAAGAGGTGGTTAATAATGCAAATAAAATAAATGAAGTTGTTTTTATTATTTTATATAATAATCAATGTTCATTTATTTTTAGTTCTACAGTATCTATCAGAATCTGAAGATGTTTCATCGCCTATTAGCACTTTTGCACCACCATTACCAGAAGGAACAGTGGCTGCTTCTGAAAAGCGTATGATTATTGTCAAATCATCAAAAAATACAAATAATTCATGTTCAAGGCTTGATAGTAGTGAAAATGAAATGTCTTCCCACAAGGTACTAGTGGTGTTTTAATGTTTAAAATACTTAAAAGTATTATTTTTATTTCAATTTTATTTCTTTATTTATATAAAGCTATCCTCTTCTACATCAACATCATCATCCGATGAAGCCAGAGGTGAATTAGAATTTGGTTTAATTTATGATGCAAGTGCTGGTATTCTTACTGTTAGACTTATCGAGGTAATTTCATATATGCGAATTTATGTATTATTATGTTTAATATGTTTTAAAATTATTTTGAACTTAATCAATAAACAAAATATGAAAATCTATTTTTAAGGCATATGATCTACATCCTCGAGAACTAAGTGGCAGTGCAGATCCTTACGCAAAAGTTCGTTTGTTACCTGATTGGAACAATATATGGCAAACAAGAATACATAGACGAACCCTAAAACCTGGTAAATTTCAAGCTGTTAAATTAAAACTAGATTTTATATAAAAAGTATAAGGAAACATAGTTTATCATAATTTATAATATTTATTATAATTTGTAGTATTCGATGAGGATTTTGTGTTTGAAATTATACCAGATTCAACGTTAGTTGAAAAGACGTTGGATATTTTACTTTACGACTTTGATGCCTTCTCTAGGCATCACTGTTTGGGTTATGTACGACTTCCTTTATCTTCAGTAATTGATCTCTTGGATACAACTCTTACAGTTATAAGAAAACCAATTCTTCAATATGGTATTGATAACGAATTGAAAATACCATCTCTAGGAGAATTAATGGTGTCTCTCTCGTATCAACCAGCTGTAGAAAGATTAACAGTTATTGTTGTCAGAGCAAAAAATTTACCTAGTCTTAATGACTCAACAAATGCAAACCTTTATGTAAAAGTAAGTACATAATATATATCCAGACATATGTTTTGCAGTAAATAAATACTGCTTTTTATTTAAGGTGAAGATAATTCATGATGGTAAAAGTATTAAGAAAAAGAAATCTAACATACAACGTGAAACACTTAGTCCTGTATGGAACGATATTTTAAGCTTTGATATTGACAATAATACATTGTCCAAATGCATACTTGAATTTATTATTTTACGAGCAAATGGCGAGCTGTTGGCTAAGTGCGAAGTATCCGACAAGTACCAAAAGGAGCTATTTTATCGTGTATTATCAGGAAAAGGTGCTTCTGCACAATGGTTACCACTTACTGAACCAGAAATCTGTTATAGTGATTTTATTGAACAGAAATATTAATAATTTTCAAACAAACCGTCCTTCTTAAATATAAGTTTAATTATATACCTCAACCACTTTATTTAATAAGTACATATATTTATGTACGATACAAATTTATTTGGAAAGTTTCTATCTGATCGTAAAGCACAAACATTATTAATTATATGCACAATTCAGTGTAAGTTTTATTTAACCACAAAGGTCAAGAATTATGACTACTAACATAAACTTTTTTTTCTATTAAATTTAAAATAAAAATATACAGATACGTGACACATTTTCGTGTTAAAACACCTTATTTACAAAGATATACAAAATAAATTGCTTGATTATATAATTATGTAATCAGTAAGCCTTAATTATTCAAATTACGCTATCCAAACTAAAAAGAATTGAAAAATAAAATCTGCATAACATTCAAGTGCTTAAATTCTCTTTTTGAAAATTATATATTCTGATATTAAGCACCTACAAGAATAATAGTGTATTAACTAAGTACTGCGGATTCTTTATTTTGAGACACTTATTAAAGTAATGCCGTTATGATTTTTTTTTACAATTAAAATAATCATTATTTTCAACAAACTCTTCCCATTTCTTCAACAACAGATGGATGAAAAATACAAGTTTCCTGAAGACGAATTAATTACAGTCTTAACTTCATACTTGATAAAAATTTTTTAAGTCTGTATCTTCAAACAGTGTTCCTATTTTAATTTAGATATAGTTTCGGTGATAGTTGTAATGATCTAATCTACTATTACCATGTCATACGATAATTTTCAATCGTTTTGTTTACTGACATTTTGTTCATTAATTCTTCAATTTAAATCAATCAAAGTTTTTACAATTTCCGTCTTATCATATATGTATGTGTAAATACTGGTAGTAAAGAATTATAATTATTGAGTCAATATATAATTTATGTAGTACAGAATACTCATTTGTAAAAAATACATTTTACAATTTCAAACTATGTTATGAATGTAACTATAATTTATGAATAGAATTTAATTGATAGAGCAGAAGTTATTATTATACACTATTTAAAAATTGAAATAAATATTTTATATAAAGTTAAAAATGCAAAAACTTAAATGAGTGAAGTATACAATGTTTACGATTAAATTGCAGTAATAATAAAATATACTAAAACTCCATAAATGTACATAAATAAACATCTCTATTAAACAATTATAGAAGTGTAGTATATTAATATTAGATTTATGAAACTCAGTTTAACAGATTTCAGACTCCAATAATATTGATTAACAATTTATGTAATTATAAATATAATATTAGGTTGTTGAGTAAATTCTATCTGCCTTCTCGTTCATATAAATAATCTGTCCCTCTTATTGCTTCTATGAATCTATAATATAAACAGTTTTATTAGGGCCTGAGGAAAACTGGTCTAAGATATTTGCGTTAATTTTTAAATCTGAAATTTACAATTCAAATATTTTAAGACATCTCCACGCTAACGCAAGAGTACATGTGGCTATGGCAACACAAAAAAAATATCGTAATTAAAATGGTAACTTATTCCACACCCACCATATTCCCCAGATCTGACACCAACAAATTTTCTTCTCTTCCGAACCTTTCAATATAAATTAACCTTATTATCCTCATAACAATAAATTTTCAAATTTTTATAAAAAATGAATAGCCCAACTACCATAGAGATGGGAAATTGTCATAAATAGTGATGAAAAATATATGATTAGAGGTAAGCACAAGATGTTTCCAAAAATTTATAGACGATATTGAAATGAACAGAAATTATGCAGCACTCTAATAGCATACCTATTTTTTTATTAAACAATGTACAATTTAAACTTATGAATCTAGTGTAAAGATAAAGAAGTATTTCCTCTACTGTCAATGTCTATTTTTATTATTATTACTTAAGCATAATTTAAAAGCTCATTTATAATTCTTCAACAATGATTTTCTTTCTATGAAAGAAAAATATATCTAATTTTGTTTTACTAAGTAGCAAAAAAGATTGTATGGCTTATTTAAATTATTTTAAAAATTGCATCGTTTTATTTTGGCGTGTTCTATATTTTTATTTAAAACCTTTATCTTCATTGTGATAAACAAAATTGTAGTATCTTGTATTGGAGTATAATAAATAAAAATATTAAAGTCTACATAATTTTATAAGAATATAACGCATATAAATGACGTCTTCTTTAGTTATAATGGTTAAAATATACACAGTCAGGTAATTCAATTTAAAAATATTTTATTCATTGTACAATATAACTGTACAAAAAAATATATGGACCAACAAATTGCGATCCTTGGGTTTAGTCAAAGAGACCTGCGAAAGAAAATTAAACAATTAAAAAAAATTGTCGATTATAATATATGAAATACACATATTTGTAATATCATTCTCATTTTTAAAAGTCATCATAAATGATTGCAGTAGCTAATACATACTATAGATATAGATTAATCATTGAATGTAAGAAAATTTTGTGTATTTTTTTCTTATTTTAACCAATATTATATCAACAAAAATAGAAATATGATCCTTACCGAAGCCCATATCATCATCTGATTCTTCTTCAGGTTCCTCCTTCTTCTTTTCTTCCTTAGCTGGCGCTGCTTCAGCAGCAGCTGGTGCAGCAACACCGGTTGGAGCTTTCAAATACAAAGTAGCAATTTAAAAAATGCTTATATATAAAAATATACAGTCTACAATTATAAAATTTTTAACAGAAGTAATATGCAGACTGGGAAATTATTTAATTATGTAGAGTGTTTTATAAACATAAAACGCTAGATACAAGGAAAAAGTAAAAGAAAATAATACATGTAAACAATTTTTTTTAATTGAATGTTATAATTTTTCTACTCTCTACACTCTACATGCATGTTTAACATTTAGCTTGCTACTTGTTCAACCAATTTGATTCACTATTTTAATCATTACTTTCAATATACCATTAATGAGAACATAAATTAACTCATATCTTTTATAATATAAACACATAATGAACATTATTTCCTAATTTTCATGAAGGAAAATATTGCAGGAACCTAATTGCAGCCTAGATACTTTAAAGTAACCCACTTATACACTGAGTTTACTTTTTCAAAGAAAACTATAATTTTCATACTTTATTTATTAATGTGTTTAAATTCAAATTCAACTACCAATAAAATATACACTTGATTTTGAGTAATTTTCAAGATGAACTTATCAAGGTACTGTGCCTTCATCGATCTTGATGATTTTTAAACATGTTGTTAGGGACATGGTTTTGAACAACCTTTTCCTTTGTATGTTAATCGAAATGATCACAAAAAACTTACTATTACTGCACTGAATTATATATACATGAGTGTGTCCGCAAGAGAGCTATGTTGCAGCTTGTATCTGTCAGTCCTCAATCTTCTCAAATTCCATGTACACTTCTCGATTAAAGTTATATTGATATTAAAATGGTACAATGTTCGAAACTACTGCGTTTGAATGAAACTGTTGGAACTTCTGTAAAGAAGAGTGCTCATGCGTAATCCGAGAAGATTACGCTTCGGCTCCCTCATGGATGAACTCATAGATAAAGAATTCAGAGTAGCAGATAATCAAGATAAGTGAGGGTGGAATACATCACTAGGTTGACCATTTTCATTTGGGGTAGCACATGTACAAAATCACTCAAAAAAAACAAAACATAACCTGTCTGAATGGAAAATATCAATAATTTTCAATTAGCACCTGTAGTAGTAAACACAAGTGATTAAAGTTCTTATGTAAAACACCCAGACCTTCAAGTACTACTTTGTTTTCCCATTTGAGTAACTTTGCTGTCTTTTCTTAGTAAATTGGCATTCACAATAGTTATAAAATAATTTAAAGTCACGTGTATAATTAATTGTAATTGATCGTGAACATTTAAAATTTTACTTGAGTTGAAACAAAAAAAAAGCTAACAATTTCTTTACACATTGCATGCTGTACCATTTTTTAAGACTTTCCATTCAGGCAGTGTGGGACATATACACCCCACACTTTTGCAATTAAATAAACTTGTTTTTGATGTATGCCTTACAATTTTTCAAATGGAAAGTTAAATGTGAGTCATATATGCCTCACACAGCAAAATGTTAATGATGTAACAAAAAAAAACTTTGTAGCAATCAAAATGTATTTCTTTTGATACCATTTAATTTTTATCAAATGCATATGCAGCGAATAGATACTGTTGTCTAAAAAAATTTAGATCATATTTATAAATATGATCAATAATATTTTTTTATACTTTTTTCTTTATCCTCTATTACTGACCGTTCTAATAAATATTTGCTAGATCGGTGGATGAAGAGGAATATTAATCATATTATACAAAATATTGTAATATTTATTACAAAATTATAAATACTAAAAATTTTCCATTAAATAGATTTATCTTTATACTTATTACTAATAAACTTTTCTTGAGAATGAGATTCTAAATAAAGTTTCAATATATGTAACTCAAGGTTCCGAAACATTCAATCACCTTGTATATATGCATAAAATTTTAACTGCAGATTTTAATTATTATCAACAATGGAAAAGGTACTATATTCAAAAATTAATTAAACAAAATTATGTCTCTATTAATATTCCAAATATATTACTTGCATTTACAATAAACCAAGAAATTATGTTGAAGCAGACGATTAAATAATCCCAAGAGGTTGATGTATTAATTTTAATTCATGTAATATATAATATATGTTAGAAAATAATACCTGCTGCGGGTGCTGCTCCTACACCTGATCCAACTTTCGTAATAAGTTCTTTAACATTAACACCTTCTAGTGCTTTAGCAAAAAGACCGGGCCAGTAAGATTCCACATCAACGTTAGCGGCTTTCAGTATTGTTTGAATCTTCTCGCCCTACGCAAAAAGTAAAATAATATACTAGTTATCCTTAATTCTAATATTTATATGGGTTTATTTACCTATTGTAAACTTAATATTAAAACTAATCATAATGAAAAAAAGTAGCATTTTGATATAACACGTTGTATGTAAAATATACACACGAGATACTTACAGTTACAGCGACGTCATCGTCAACGAGGATTAATGCGGAATAAACGCAAGCAAGTTCAGCCTTGGTAGTCATGTTTGCTACTTGTGTGTCTTATATTAAAACTGGATGAATGTTAATAATGGTGCAAGTTGCTGATACAGCCTTAGCTCCACAAGAGAGAACAAGCACCCAACTTTACTCGATCCAGCGAAAAGGAAAAGAGACCGAATTGAGCGGAAATCACGTGATATGAAAGAAAGGCGCATTCACACCGCAACAAAATATACACGCAAGTAAGTAGGTGTGTATACAACGTATCTTATTGGCTAAATTAAAAAACATTAAAATATTTAATAACATAAATTTATGAGATTCCTATCAGAAATATATAGAATTATGTATTTATTATGTTATTACCGTGATTTTTAAATAATCTGTAAAAAGATATAATGTTTAAAATGATAATAACGTTTATTGATAAGTAGATGTGAGTATGAAGGCACAAGAAATTACAGAATTATGCTGTGTAAATGTTTTATAAGCCATCCGTTTTATTAATAATAAATACATATTCAAACATACAGAACTTCCAAAAACAATAGTATTAAAATATTCTAAGGGTCGATTTTTATGAATATGAAAAGAGGGCGCTACAGCACGAGAAGTGTAAGTAACGAGTAACATACACGCATATACTCGATTCCTCGCAATGACATCGAAATACATGCGAGTCGACGTTACTTGAAATTTGTGAATCGATCAGTACGGTGTACGCAGTTGTGCTGGTGATTCCAGTGGTCTTGAGAACGTTACGCGTTGACCAAGTATTCGAGTTTCTTACAAGCGAGAACAGTGCGTGTCAAGGCAATCGAGCATATAATTGCTCGTCTTGTGGGCACAATTTATTCTTACGACGACTAGCTCGGCAAATGTTTTCTTGCGATACGTTGCTATGTAGTACCGGTGTAAATGAAGCGGCGGCGTATAACGCGGTCGCGTGGTAAAGGAATACCGCCTGTGGGGGCGATGAGAATGGCGCGCAAATGTTGCGTGCGTAGCTGTGAAGCTGATGTACAAGAATCGCGTGCTAAAGGATTTCCACTTCATAAATTTCCAAAAGATATTGGTTTGAGAAGCAGGTGGTTGGTCAGTGGTGGATTTGAACCGAGTTTTAAACCTTCGCCGGGTCAAATTGTATGCCACAGACATTTTAAACGAGCTGATTACGAAGCCGCCAAGGGTCATAAGTTACTTCTACGTAAAGGCAGTGTTCCATCGGTTTTTGCAGATTATGATAATCATCCAGGTAGGCAGAATGTCATATGAATTTATCTTTTCTTAGTTTTTGAAAATAAAAGCAATATGTCAAGCGTAAAATGTATACTTGATTTCCTCATATATTTTCTACGGACCGCTTCTTACTTTCTTTGTATCTATTTTCTAACTTTTAATTTTATTTTTTCTATTTGTCTTTAAACGTCGATGTCCATTTATACGCGGCATCTTTAAATTTACAATATTTATACGCGTATCTTTATGCCAAAAAGTTTTTTTTAAAATAATATTAAATGTTACAGTATTGTTACAGTATTAAAAAATGTCATAGTAGAATATTCACTTGATTCTTAATACAAGGTACCTTCTTAATTACAATGTTTTATTATTACCCCAAAATTATCCATAAACTATTTAAATTAATTATGAACAACTTCGTATCTGTACATAATTCAAATATATAAATGTAACTATTATGTTATAATCTAGTTCACCTGTATATCTTTTTATTATACAGTATTTACTTAGATATAGGCAAGTATATTTGAATATGTCATTGACAGATTTCTAGTTGTTACATTATATATTTCTTATCTTATATTATTTGATGACAGCGTTACTTTACTTATACTTATTAGGCTGCATATTTAAAATATATGTTTATAACTGTTGAGCTTTTGATTTATTCAATGTTTAAATTCTTTTCTACAGATCCTGTAATTATGTCTGTGAAATCATCAACTTCTTATGCACAAGAGGATTTGGATCTCATTAATTCTGAAATTTTGAACTTAGAACAATCTATTTCACCATTATTATCTGAAGCAAGAACTCCAAAATCTGATAGTTGTGGAGAAACATGTTCTTCTCGGCCAGAATCGTCAGTTGACTCTGTTAATATGACAGATTCAACGGATGTAATTGATAATGGGTTTAAAACATTTCCTATAAAAAGTGAAAATATGCCTCCCGTAAAAGAAGAGATCAATGAGAATTTAGAAATGGAAGTAAATACTGTGGCTGCACAATTAGGAATTGTAGAATCAGATGTGACAATAAAGAATATACAAAAAGACTTAATCATTAAAGAAGAATTAAAAAATATTAAAATAGAAGATGATAAAGCATTTGATAAACCAGAAGAATTAAAAACAAAAGTATTAAATCGGGATGGACTCAAATTTTTTCCTGGAGCTAAATTGGAAGCAAAAGATTTCAATGATAAATGGTAGGTATTACTAAAATTTCAATTTATACTAATCTTTTGATAAACGATAGAAGCAACTTTTATAAAATTATTCATTACTATATACTGCAGGTATTCTGCTAAAGTCGTTGAAACTGATTGGGATGAAAGAGAAGTTTTAATACATTTTGACAAATGGAGCTCAAGATTCAATGAATGGATACCTATGGATAGCTCTAGATTACGTGTGTTACAAACACAGTCAAAGTGAGTAGATAGTTTAGGATTTACTAATTCCATCCATGAAAATCTGCATAACATATTGAACTAACATTTAACATACTGAAAAAGAAAGAAATAATAAAAAAT